TAAGGCCAAAAACATCATAGTATAGTAAGGCCAAAAACATCATAGTATAGTAAGGCCAAAAACATCATAGTATAGTAAGGCCAAAAACATCATAGTATAGTAAGGCCAAAAACATCATAGTATAGTAAGGCCAAAAACATCATAGTATAGTAAGGCCAAAAACATCATAGTATAGTAAGGCCAAAAACATCATAGTATAGTAAGGCCAAAAACATCATAGTATAGTAAGGCCAAAAACATCATAGTATAGTAAGGCCAAAAACATCATAGTATAGTAAGGCCAAAAACATCATAGTATAGTAAGGCCAAAAACATCATAGTATAGTAAGGCCAAAAACATCATAGTATAGTAAGGCCAAAAACATCATAGTATAGTAAGGCCAAAAACATCATAGTATAGTAAGGCCAAAAACATCATAGTATAGTAAGGCCAAAAACATCATAGTATAGTAAGGCCAAAAACATCATAGTATAGTAAGGCCAAAAACATCATAGTATAGTAAGGCCAAAAACATCATAGTATAGTAAGGCCAAAAACATCATAGTATAGTAAGGCCAAAAACATCATAGTATAGTAAGGCCAAAAACATCATAGTATAGTAAGGCCAAAAACATCATAGTATAGTAAGGCCAAAAACATCATAGTATAGTAAGGCCAAAAACATCATAGTATAGTAAGGCCAAAAACATCATAGTATAGTAAGGCCAAAAACATCATAGTATAGTAAGGCCAAAAACATCATAGTATAGTAAGGCCAAAAACATCATAGTATAGTAAGGCCAAAAACATCATAGTATAGTAAGGCCAAAAACATCATAGTATAGTAAGGCCAAAAACATCATAGTATAGTAAGGCCAAAAACATCATAGTATAGTAAGGCCAAAAACATCATAGTATAGTAAGGCCAAAAACATCATAGTATAGTAAGGCCAAAAACATCATAGTATAGTAAGGCCAAAAACATCATAGTATAGTAAGGCCAAAAACATCATAGTATAGTAAGGCCAAAAACATCATAGTATAGTAAGGCCAAAAACATCATAGTATAGTAAGGCCAAAAACATCATAGTATAGTAAGGCCAAAAACATCATAGTATAGTAAGGCCAAAAACATCATAGTATAGTAAGGCCAAAAACATCATAGTATAGTAAGGCCAAAAACATCATAGTATAGTAAGGCCAAAAACATCATAGTATAGTAAGGCCAAAAACATCATAGTATAGTAAGGCCAAAAACATCATAGTATAGTAAGGCCAAAAACATCATAGTATAGTAAGGCCAAAAACATCATAGTATAGTAAGGCCAAAAACATCATAGTATAGTAAGGCCAAAAACATCATAGTATAGTAAGGCCAAAAACATCATAGTATAGTAAGGCCAAAAACATCATAGTATAGTAAGGCCAAAAACATCATAGTATAGTAAGGCCAAAAACATCATAGTATAGTAAGGCATAAAACGTCATAAAAACATCTTACAATAGTAAGGCATAAAACGTCATAGTATAGTAAGGCATAAAAAGTTACAAAAACGTCATAGTATAGTAAGGCATAAAATGTTGTAAAAATGTCATAGTATAGTAAGGCATAAAACGTCATATAAACGTCATAGTATAGTAAAGCATGAAAAGTCATAAAAATGTCATAGTATAGTAAGGCATAAAAAGTCAAAAAAATATCATAGTATATTAAGGCATATAACATCGTAGTATAGTAAGGCATAAAATGTTGTAAAAAAGTCATCGTATAGTAAGGCATAAAACATCATAGTATAGTAAGGCATAAAATGTCATAAAAATGTCATAGTATAAAATGGCATAGAGAGTCATAAAAACATCATAGTATAGTAAGGCATAAAACATCATAGTATAGTAAGGCATAAAATGTCATAAAAATGTCATAGTATAAAATGGCATAGAGAGTCATAAAAACATCATAGTATAGTAAGGCATAAAACATCATAGTATAGTAAGGCATAAAATGTCATAAAAATGTCATAGTATAAAATGGCATAGAGAGTCATAAAAACATCATAGTATAGTAAGGCATAAAACATCATAGTATAGTAAGGCATAAAATGTCATAAAAATGTCATAGTATAAAATGGCATAGAGAGTCATAAAAACATCATAGTATAGTAAGGCATAAAACATCATAGTATAGTAAGGCATAAAATGTCATAAAAATGTCATAGTATAAAATGGCATAGAGAGTCATAAAAACATCATAGTATAGTAAGGCATAAAACATCATAGTATAGTAAGGCATAAAATGTCATAAAAATGTCATAGTATAAAATGGCATAGAGAGTCATAAAAACATCATAGTATAGTAAGGCATAAAACATCATAGTATAGTAAGGCATAAAATGTCATAAAAATGTCATAGTATAAAATGGCATAGAGAGTCATAAAAACATCATAGTATAGTAAGGCATAAAACATCATAGTATAGTAAGGCATAAAATGTCATAAAAATGTCATAGTATAAAATGGCATAGAGAGTCATAAAAACATCATAGTATAGTAAGGCATAAAACATCATAGTATAGTAAGGCATAAAATGTCATAAAAATGTCATAGTATAAAATGGCATAGAGAGTCATAAAAACATCATAGTATAGTAAGGCATAAAACATCATAGTATAGTAAGGCATAAAATGTCATAAAAATGTCATAGTATAAAATGGCATAGAGAGTCATAAAAACATCATAGTATAGTAAGGCATAAAACATCATAGTATAGTAAGGCATAAAATGTCATAAAAATGTCATAGTATAAAATGGCATAGAGAGTCATAAAAACATCATAGTATAGTAAGGCATAAAACATCATAGTATAGTTAGGCATAAAACGTCATAAAAACGTCATGGTATAGTAAGGCATAAAAATAGCAAAATATCTCATAGTATATTAAGGCATAAAATGGGCAAAAAACATCTTAGTATAGTAAGCCGTAAAATGTCCAAAAAAAAGTTATAGTATAGTAAGGGACAAATAGTCATAGTATAATATGGCATAAAAAGTCATGAAAACATCAAAGTAAAGTAAGACATAGGTAAGGCAGTATAGTAAGGCATAAAACGTCATATAAACGTCATAGTATAGTAAGGCATGAAAAGTCATAAAAATGTCATTGTATAGTAAGGCATAAAACGTCATAGTATAGTAACGCATAAAATGTCATAAAAACGTCTTAGTATAGTTAGGCATAAAACTTCATAAAAACGTCATAGTATAGTAAGGCATAAAACGTCATAGTATAGTAAGGCATGAAAAGTCGAAAAAATGTCATAGTATATTAAGGCATATAACATCGTAGTATAGTAATGCATAAAATGTCATAAAAACGTGATAGTATAGTAAGGCATAAAAATGGCAAAAAATTTCATAGTTAATTAAGACACAAAATGGGCAAAAAACGTCATAGTATATTAAGGCATATAACATTGTAGTATAGTAAGCCATAAAATGTCATAAAAATGTAATAGTATAGAAAGGCATAAAAGTTCATAAAAAAGTCATAGTATATTATGGCATAAAACGTCATAAAAACGTCATAATATAGTAAGGCATAAAAAGTCATAAAAACGTTATAGTATAGTAAGGTATAAAACTTCAAAAAAACATCATAACATATTAAGGCATAGAACGTCATAAAATACTCATACTATATTAAGGCATCATGAGCCATAACAATGTCATAGTATAATAAGGCATAAAACGTCAAAGTATAGTAAGAGTCAAAAAAAAAAAAGTATCTTTTTGTATATCCTTTTGGTCGAAAAGGGAAGCTGAATTCGAAACCACAACCTTTTGACTTCGAGGAATCAGTAACTACTTAACTACGATGTCATACCATAAAAGCCACCATAAGAGTGATAACAACGTAAGGTATAAAATCACATAGTACAGTAAAGCATCAAAAGTCATAGTAAGAGTAAAAAAAATATAAAAAGTATCTTAATGTGCACAATTTTAGTCACAGGGGTAAGCTGGATTTGAACTCACAACCTTATGATTCCTAGGCAGCAGTTCTAACCACTTGACCATGAAGTCATCCCTAAGAAATTTACTGTAAAGGTCAAAATAATGTCATAGTATAGTGAGGCTTGAAAAGTCATAGTATAGTAAGGTATAAAATGTTATTGTATGGTAAGGCACAAAAAGTTATAAAAACGTCATAGTATAGTAAGGCATATAACATCATAGTATAATAAGCCATAAAATGTCATAAAAACGTCATAGTAAAATAAGTCATAAAACGTCAAAAAATGTCATACTATAGCAAGGCATTAAACGTCATGAAAACATCATAGTATAGTAAGGCATAAAAGTTCATTAAAACGTCATAGTATAGTAAGGCATAAAAAGTCATAAAAATGTCATAGTATAGTAAGGCATAAAACTTCATAAAAACGTCATAGTATAGTAAGGCATAAAATGTCGTAGTATAGAAAGGCATAAAACGTCATAAAAATGTCATAGTATAGTAAGGCATAAAACGTCATAGTATAGAAAGGCATTAAACGTCATAAAAACGTCATATTATAGTAAGGCACGAAAAGTCATAAAATTGTCAAAGTATAGTAAGGCATAAAACGTCATAGTATAGAAAGGCATTAAACGTCATAAAAACATCATATTATAGTAAGGCACGAAAAGTCATAAAATTGTCATACTGTAGCAAGGTATAAAACATCATAAAAACGTCATAGTATAGTAAGGCTTAAATCGCATAAAAACGTCATGGTACAGTAAGGCATAAAAATAGCAAAATATCTCATAGTAGTATTATAATAGTATTATTATACTATTAAGGCATAAAATGGGCAAAAACCGTCATAGTATGCGTAGTAAGCAATTAAATGTCATAAAAACGTCATAGTAAAATAAGGCATAAAAAGTCATAAAAATGTCATAGTATAGTAAGGCATAAAACTTCATAAAAACGTCATAGTATAGTAAGGCATAAAATGTCATAGTAGTAGTCTTTACCTTGTACGCGTCCACCACCAGCTCTATTAGATTTGGAGCTTGGAAGAGGCCTAACCTTCCCAGGTAGGAACCAGGCAGTAAGTGCACCAACTCCTAGGGAAGGGAAGGAAGTGATGGTAATGAAATACTTTCATGCTTTTAAATTAATTCCTAGATAATATTGGAAAAAACACTACACTAGCACCACAAGTCAGACAAGTCAGTACCATTACTATTCATATAAAAACATTTGATCTCAGAGAAAACTCTTGCTTCCCTCAAATCTTTGTGGGGCAATGTACAGTATATTTTCGCCGTTACAAAGTTGTACTATCTGTTGTTAAGTACATGTGTGGGAGACATTACCTCGTACCACTGGTACTGCTGTTTCTCCACAGCAAAGATGGAGTAGATATGGTTTTCAAGCAGCTTATCAGACAACTGACCCACACTGGGATGGTCCTGAGAGAGAGAAACCAACAAACTAAATTACAAAATGTAAGTGCCAAACCACGTTTAAGAAGACTGTTCTTATGGACAGTTATTTTGTATATCATCTTAAAGCATTGATCTGTTATTGTCAGGTTAAAAGTCTGCAAAACTTTTTCACCTCCAGCCTCTGTAGAAATGTACACAGTCCATTATTGTGTGACCATGTGAGCTTTAAGATGCACTGTACGTCCAGCTGAAGCTTCCTCGCTGATTGTGATTTCTGAATTCAGTGTGGCTTTTCTGGCCCTGACTGCTCAGCACCTACAAATATCTTCCTCCTCTCACCATCCTGGTGCTCCCTGTGTAGACGTTGTTCTCCAGGTGACAAAGGCCATCGTGTGGCGTCACAATCCCGGCCAGCCGGCTGTCCAAGGCGAGGTGAGATGGCTGGTCAGTCATCAGGAGCAGCAGACGCTTGGCATCTGGTCGCCAACCCACTGCCCTCTAAAAGAGAGACAAAAAGAAAATCAAGATGCCATATTATGCTTAGCTGTAAATCTAAAAAACCCAAGTTATTGCCCAACTTCACAAATGACATCATTTTTATTCTCATACAGCAGCTACACTCACACAAGCTAATGTGGAAAATATTGTTTGTGTGTGCTTCATATTTTAGAAGTTTACAACATGTGGTAAGAAACTGCACATTCAGACATGTTACTCATCTGAATTATATTAGTGCCCTTGGTGATCAGCTCTTTCTATAATGCCCAATTATGACAAAAGCAGCAGAAATTCTTCCATCAGCCACAGAATCTCCCTGTTTATGTCTGTGACTTGTCATAGACACTGTGAGAAAAATGGGTTTGTGTGTGCACGTGTGTGTATTTAAGGAAACTCAGTGAGCTTATAAGTAGGCCTGACATAATGTAGAGTCTATTTCTAGACTCATGACCACCACGGTGTTTCCCTGCAGACTGGTTACTCAGGGCCCCCCTTGCATGGTGTGAATCACAGCCCTCCCGCAGACATAGTATAAGCAACCGTGACTCTATGTGTGTTCATCTGCCATACCCCAGCAATGGTGTCATTAAATAGTGGGGATCCAGTGGCACCATCCAGTGCTGAGTCAGGCTGCCTCCATTCTCCTAGAATAAATGCTTCATTTAACAGCATGAGACTTACCTCCAAATTTGGGCTTAACTAACATTTCTGTGAATGTATTCAATAAACTCTGTTTGGCAAATCCCTTTCTCTTTGTTTCACACATGTAGCCTGAGTTCCCGGCATCTGTGTATACACACCTGGCAGACAGCAGCTTGCAGCATAGCATCCAGCCCTCCCTCAGGTGTGTCCATGTTTCCGGAGATGCGCTGGCGTTTGATCACCCGCGTGAACTCGCTCATGTTTCCCGTCATGCTTAGGACGTGGTGGAAGCCGTGGGCTGGACGACAGCGGATCTCATAATCACTGGTGAGAGGCAGAGACAGTCATAGAACAGAAAAAGATTTTAATTGCAACATTCAGGAATGCAGAGCTCCAAAACAACCACCAGAATAAACAAATGCCAAAAGCCTGTCTGTTGTTTCAGTCTCCCAGCACAGCTCATCATCAAAACAATGTTGCCACCAGCAACTGATGAGTCTCTCCCTGAGTCACACAAAATTAGGAGCACATAATGGGAGCAGTTTGCTTGGATATTTTTTTTTTTAAATAATCACCACACCAATCTTTTTGTCTCATTAAAAGAAAAAAAAGTTAGCTGACAAATATGACAAACCAGGCTTTTTATCCTATTCACAGCAGGAACATTAACTAAATGAGCTCTACCCACTTTTTTTCAGCTATCAATAACCAAACCGGTAAATTCTGAGCCTTACCTGCAGGGGTTGTTGATCTTTGAGGGATGGACGTTGATGTAAGGGGAGACAGGTTTGTCCACGAACGAGCCGAAACCCAGCCAAAGGTCTGAGGAGTGCTGTGTCATACGTAGAGACAGAGCTACACCCACTGTCTTCAACTGGACCACAGACAGCATATATGGGTGAAGAATGGTACACAGCGGGACAAGAACAAAGGACAAAAACAAAATCAGATATGACACAAGAGAAGAAAACAAAAACTGTATTCATGTTTGAGAGATTCCTCATTTAAAGAAGAGACGTCAGCTCTGATATTTCTGCAATTTATTCGATATAAAATGAAAATTACTCATCTCATATGCGCCAACGATCTAATACTGAGTCATTATCTGTGTTTAGGAGTACAGGTTCTTTAAATAATGCACTTTGTCCTTATGAAAAAAATTGAAATACTTCAGCACTGACTCACTGAAAGGAACAGTGATGGCTGAGTGTTTTAACACGTACATGATCCAGGTTTTCCTGCATAGAAGCCGATACATCCACCAGGTAGTACAGATCCACAGGGTAACGCTCCAGCTGCTTCACAGCCACTATGACGCTGGCTTCTGCACCTAGGAACACACACACACACTGAACAGTTAACTTTAAGTTTTATCTCTGCAGCTTTAAGAAAATGTGGTGCAAATTAGAGATCCAGTCATATTTGAGGCAAAAACATAAATTTGTCAGTCGTCCTCACCTGGTCTGAGGGTGATACTGATGTCTCCTGGGGACACTTGTGTGTTGCTAATGGTGGCATTGACCTCCACCTTGATCTCTGTCTGCTCCATGAACTCCGGTCCACAGCCTCTTCTGAGCAGGTTCACAGACAGGTCGCAGCGCTGGCCAGGCCACAACCCATCCTGAAAGTCCTATAAAAGGTCACACAAGGTCAAGAGGGGGAAACAGCAATATCTCTTTTAGTATATTTTATTTCCACTTTTTCAATTTTGTATTTACAAAATCATGCAAATGATAGAAAGCAACAAAGAGAAATCAGCAAGCCAGACATGGAGCAAAATAGCAGGCAGACAGTTGTGAAGATGCCTCACATAATGCGTCTTTTGAGATGTTATCACAGTAATCGTGTCTCAGGAGTGAGAACCAGTAACAAGAAAACAAAGTAGGTCAAGTTGAATGCCACATTGTCCCATGTACTCTCATAAGTCAGGGCCACTGATGCTGAGAAATATGTGACCATCTAAATCTGTCAAATCTCCTCTGTGTTTTTGGGTTTATTCAGATTTAAATGTCTCCATTTGTAAAATAATAACATCTGGTTGAACCACTATTTGAAGCAGGGTAAACATCCCTGTACTGTTCCAGTAATGAATATATTCTTTCACCCACTGGTTTGACTGTGTGATCTTTGGTGTCTGTACCGAGTGCTAAACCACTGGTTCGTTTCACACAAGAAAACATTGGAAATCGAAACTGGTTTCACATTTACTCACTTTGGTTTCATTTTTCATTTCTGTCATTTCTATGATGTTTGCATTGATTTGCAACGATCAAAGAGCCATTATAGTTTTATTATGTGAAGTTACTCATCAGTTAAAAATATCAGGATGAATTGTCCTGTTTGTGTTTACTCATCCATGTCCTCATCTGCTCTCTGTGTATCTGATCACTGAGGAGAGGGAAGTTAAATCCAAGTGGGAGATCTGACAGACAGAGATGGCTTCGGATCGTCCACTTAGCTCTTTCTTATTTAGCACAGTAGTATATTAATTGATCAGCACTGTGTTGAATGAATCTTGATACATTGTAGATAACCTCTCCACTGCCCAATAGTCAGCAGCTCAAACAACACAGCACAAAAATGTCATGCTTTGCAGCTTTAGAGTGGATTATCGACCTTTGGCACTTCAGTCTGAGAGAAACACTCACAAATACACTGGAATTGACCAGAAACATAAAAGTAGACCATTAAATCTGTGTATTTACAAAGTGTCATGGGCCTGATTGGTATGAGTCCATTTAAAGAGTGTGACATGACCAACAAGATCACACAGATAAGGACTAAAAATAGCACAGGAGCAAAGCAGCCACAGTAAGAGCTGAACATGTAGCTGAATATGCGACCACAGGCTGAACCTGAAAGCTCGAATGACTTCGGTGTATTTATGGCTGCGCCCTTGGCTATAATTTGTCCTGCATCTACTCCGAATTTCAGAAAGTTTCACAGAGACTTCCTGGGACTTCCCTCACACAGTTTGCCCTCTTCTCCTGGCATTAAATGAAAGTGTCAGGATGTGAACGTGCACATTGATAAGCTCTGTACTTGCTTGAGAAACAGAGTGGATGGCCCTGTTAGTTTGTTTGTGTGAGTGTGTGTAGGAGGTTAGAGAGGTGGAGAGGTTTGAATGCTTTCACACACAAGTGAGCAGGGCCCCGTTTAATGATGTCAGATAAGGTTAGGGTTCACAGGGTGGGAAAGCACCTGAAGTCTGTAAACACACACATGTTGATAGTCTGGTTTAGCCACAGGTTAGCTGTGTGTGTGTGTGTGTGTGTGTGTGTGTGTGTGTGTGTGTGTGTGTGTGTGTCTGGTGTGGGTGTCTGGGAGGGTTTACAGCTTCTCAAGGCTAATTCAGGATGGGCTCTTTACGAGACAGTCTGACACCCAGAAAGCAAAGACAGATACAGACAAACACAGGCGGAAATATTCACACACACACACACACACACACACACACACACACACACACACACACACACACACACACACACAGACGCCCTCACACAGGTCATAGGGCTGGGCACTGAGCTCTAACATACACATTATATTCCCATCTGCGGACGCCGTGAAAGCTTTGATGTGTGTCATCTGTTGAACGCTGCTGGCTGCATTTTTCTCTCACTCTGCCAGACACACAAACACACACTTTTTATACACTTCCCTACCTCCTTGAAGCACCAGGCGCACTGTGGTCCACGACTGAGACACTCTGTGCAAGAAGTGATACTGGTAGACCGACACGCACTGTCACCTGCGGACGGGGGAAGGAGGAAGAGCAGAGAGGAGAAGAGAAGAAAGAAATGTGTCATTAGCATATGAAAGAATGTGTGTGTCAACACTCATTAACCATGCAGCAGAGGCCCCTGTGGATATTAAGAGATCTCATAAACACTTTTGATGATCGAAGCACCACTTAGCATCTCATAGGAGGCTATTCAGAACAGTCATGTAGTGGGAAAACGTCTGGGAGTGTGGGAACAGGTGCTTGAGTTGTTGGAGTGGTGCAATGGATCATTTCCCACACCCACACGCACTCATGCAGGCACACACACAGAGGGCATCTAATTATGAGTCAATCAGTGAAGGCTACATACGAACGCATGTAGGCTATTAACGAAGTGGCAAAATCTGCCACAAATCTGTCATGGTGCAAGATGCTTTTCCACAACATTAGCAAGATTGAGATGTAGACTGAAAATTTTTACGAGGTGACAAAGGGCACAAAATGGACCTGAGGCTTAAAGTAGTGGGATGAATGATTCATTGAAGTGAATTATCTGCTGAAATCCAATTTTCCAGAGCCACTTCAGTGAGATACAGAGCTGGAATGTAGGACAGAGAAAGGCTGCAGGTCCTAGCATCACTAACAAGCAGCTGTGACCCAATTAGCACTGCTGGCCTCTGGCAAACTCCTGAATAGGTGAAGCATTTAACTTCTATTTATAACTAATCAATACATGCTGAAACAAGAGGTTGATGTTGACTAGACTGCAGAGGGTTCAGCGGCTTCCCTTTAAACATAATTTGTGTCTTACTGTTTAATAAGACAACTTATACGCCTTGTGTTCAAATGTTCACACTCTCCCTAAAACATGTGATATTGTGTGGAAATAAAATCTTAAAATGCTCTTAAAAAGGCTCCTTTTAAGCATTAGGAGCAACCATCGACTCCCTGCAGAGAGCACAGATGATGCGGGATGGGAGCTGATGTTGCGCAGTGATGGCTTGACATGATACAAGACGCAGGCTAATTGCTGGGATATGATGTAATTGGCCCTAATGAGCCTCCACTCACCGGCACTGGAGGCTTCTGCGCAGACAGCGACCACCACGCAGCAGAGCAGGACACACAGAGGGACGCTGCTGTATGTGCGGAGCCAGGAAGTCATATTATCCTATCCACACCGGGAGGGTGACCGGAGCGAAGCAGCGAGGAGGCACAGGAGCAGAGGCTGTAGGCTTCAGCTACTGGAGATGAACGGGGGGAGACCTGGTACCGTGCGTCCGCCGCCGCACGAACAATAGCCGGGAGTGCCGTACCGAGCCGCGGGGCATTGTCGTTCACCCAATAACCTTCTAATCCCGGAGAGGTATTCACATCCCCGGGTCAAATCAGCTTACAAGCGCGCTCCCCCGTGGACCAGGAGAGGAGGTGAAGCAGTCGGTAGAGTGCAGCGTCAACAGCGGCTGCGGCGCGAGCCCCTCCATCTATTTCCATCCAGCCGCAGGTGAGCGACGTGTCCCCGCGTGCTTCCACGATGGACCTAGTCTCACAGCTGATGGTGAAGTCTCATTCCGGGACAGAGCGCAGCTGAGCTACACACATACACACACACGCACACATATGAGTAGCCTACACCAACCAGCGCTGCGTTCAGCCGGTGCGCGCCAACATGCTGACTGAACGTCCCACACCAAAAGCAGGAGAGTGACCGTGTTTTAACCGCTGTACTGACTCAGGCAGGCGGTGCCATGGCAACGACGCTGTATCAGAGAGGGAGCGAACGTGTGAGTTAAAGAGGGAGGGAAGAGAGACAAATAAGGAGAGAGAGAGGAAGAGAGACATAAAGAAGTGCTTACTACGAGGAGTTGTGGTGGGGTGCATTCCAAGTGAACCATGGCCTTGAATTGAACACTGATGTTTATATTGCTTCTTCAGGGAGCCGTTTAACAGCACTGAGGGCTCCTGTGTGTGTGTGTGTGTGTGTGTGTGTGTGTGTGTGCGTGTGTGTGTGTGTGTGTGTGTGTAGGGGGGGGGTCCAAAACAGCGTGTGGATGGATGATGGGGTAAAGGAGAAGAGGGGGTTGGACCTCTTGCAGAGGGGTTCACAAGCTGGTGCTAAAGGAGGATGAGGAGGAGGGGGATTTGGGTCCATTGTGCACAGATTCCAATGACATGGAGTAACCTCGCCTCGCCGGCTGCTCCGCTGAGCAGGAGCCAAAGACTTACTAAACAACTCAACATTTTAAGCCGGAGGAAAAAAGAGACAAAGCAAGGACAAAAGGCACAATAGTCTACCATCTTTGGCATGATTGGGCGCTTGTCTCTTCGGTAGAGGTCTTACCAGATAAAACAGACATGTTTTGCTTGGCACGTAGCCTAAACAGTGATTGTGAGAGTGCCAACAGTCAGAACCACTGCACAGCGGTAAGCTCACCCAGTACACACACATTCACACAAATCCCTTATCTACTCTGTTTGACCTCATCAGGACCCTGGAGCCAGGCCAGCTACGCCTCTCCTCTCATTCATTCACATAATTTGTCTAAAGGGAATTTTTTGGGGGGGCGAGGGGGGTTGGCGGTGCCAACACCTCCCCATCCATGCCCTTTTAGCAGTCACTCTCAATTATGGTAATGAAGCAAACACACACCACACTGTTTTCTAAGTGTGTGAAACATCTCCAAAATCCAGATTCCATAGACCCTCTCCACCCAGGCCAAGTCTCGCCTCTAGGGGCTGAGGAGAGCAGGAGGGGAGTTGGGGGGTCTGGAGTACAAAATATGGATCTGTTCCCTGCTGAGTAAACTTGATAACGAACTCCAGTGTAAACACTCCCTCAGGCTTGTCAAAACTGGTCAACATCAGCATCTCAATGACAGTTGTCATACTCGTAAAGCTGACACAAAACACTCTTCTTCTCTTATCATTCCTCCACCCACCTTTCTAACCTCCCTGCCCTTGACCCTCTTTTCTCTTTCTCTCCCAACAGTGTGTTTGTGTTAGCAGTCTGCTGGGCTTTCCATCACGCTGGTCTGGTCGCATCATTCTCCAACCACACACACACACACACACCATCCTAGTTAATGTCCCCTACTGAACTATCACTTTCCCTCAAACACCTTCCCAACTTTCCTTCTGAACACTCAAAGTCGACTCATCTCGCTGAAATTTCTCCCACATTCTCCTTTCATTCACTCATTCTTTGTCTAAGCTGATGTGAGGACAAAGTAGGGGTCAAAGGTGAGATGGGACCCAAACGGGGATTCCCATGAACAAAACCAAAGCAGCCACCACAGATGCACAAAGTAGTAAGACATTTGGAGAAATCTGGTACCGGGGAAATTTTTCCTTTCTTTGTCTGAATGTCTGCGTTTTGTCTCATTTAGTGTAGGCTGGAGCCAAACAGTCGCACAATTATAAAACCTTTAGCATTTACTCGCTTTAAAGAATACATTTCATCATATTTCTGTTATAAACACAGCAATCTGAATTCCCCTCTCATACGTTTGGCATTTAGTGAACTGAATTCCCCCTTATCAGAGTATTATCACAACCCTACACCTACTTGACAATTTTTTATACATACCACACATTTCCATACACACCGACACACACACACACACACACAGACTGTATAGTCTTTTTTGTTTTCAAATCGAGTGGAGGTTAATGTTAAATTTCCGTTTCTGTCAAAAGTGCACATCACGAATCAAGAACTAGGCAGTAGTGATTTATATATGGCTTTTGCTATTATTCAGCGTCTCCCCACAGACAGTTACATTTCACTTTGTGACAACATGAAAGTCTAAAAATAGTACAGAGGAAGCTTTCTGTGTTCCTGTTCTTGCACATGTGAGTATTTATGTTTTTCAAAGAGTCAAAGAACCCCCTCCATGGAAACTCAACGTAGAACTGAAATTTCTGAGGTGATAATAAGAAACAGTTGTCAGACACATTATCTGGTCAGAGCCTTCGTGTTTCTATTGTCACCACTTCACTATTTTGAATGTCACCAAGGGAACAATCCTATAGTTGTTGTGTGAAATAGATCTCAGTTGTTTGACTGGTGCTAATCCGGTTTTGATCCTCATTCTACAAATAATGCTGTCATAAACTGTATGTGAACACTCTGTGTTTTACAGATGTGGTCTATTTTTTCATTAAGGAAAATGTCACCTTGAGATAAACAGCAATTTTACGTGATCTCCAAAGTATTTCAAAGACTAAAGTCAACAATGCTTTAGTCGGTCTTTCAGTGCTTTCCAAAAGCTGTGGCTCTCAGCCCCAAGTCTTACCGAGTTTGGCACAAACTTTTCTCAAACAGGAGTAAGCAAATAGTACATTTACTGAGGTTGGTGTATGCGGGATTGACTAAAAAATAAACTAGAGTGCTCACATCCGTCACAATGAAAGAACATGTCCGCCAGTGCAACCATGTGATTACATGACGTGTATGTTGGACAGCAATGAAGATCGAGCATAAGCTTTGTCAGGCTTTAGACAGGACAAAACTTATTTGTTGGATCAATTCGTTGTTGGCTTGTTACTCACTCACCCCTCCACAAACTTGACTTCCTTATGTTTAGCTATGGCTTTTATGTTTTGGTGGAGAAATCAACAACAGTGGATTCTCAGTTTCTCAGCACAAGTGAGATTTGTGCTACTTACTTTTGTTGTGCGGCTGCTCGATTTATTTGTCTTTTGGGAAATAAATGTGCATCTGCTCTTCATGAATAATGTATTTCTTGACCGTCAGTGCAGAATGGTGAGTCTACAGAAAAACATTAACACGGAGAACGAATGTAGAAAATAGTACAAAGTGCTGCTTTAGCAAAGAGGTCTTGAAGATATAATGAGGTTCTTTGTAACTACAGTACATAGACAATGAAAGCATTGATTACTACCACATTTATGCTAAGCTGTTTATCGACCTTAAAATGTGACAGCTTAACAGAAATGTTTGATAATTAACAACAATTCATTGTGATTCTATGTTGCCTCTTTGATTGCAGCCAGAAAATCTTCAATATTCACTGATACTAAAACTTATAAGACCACTGGACACTGACCCAGGTAATGAAAAGCTTTCAGTTATTATAGCACCAGTAGTGGCTTTGAGAGCATCAGAACCACAATAAATATCCCCCTACAGTAAGATGCGATTTCTTTTTGAGCAGCATCTCAAAATATCTACATAAAATGTCACAGATACTTTGATAAAATCACAATAAAAAACCCCTCTTTTCTCAGTTGTGCTGTTTCCACAAGTGTTTTTTCATACAGAGACCACAATACCCATAAACCCTGTTACTTACTCTTGCAGTATGGTTGATGTTTTACCTATGAATTTCATTTCTACCACTCTCTGACATTATGAGGTACTTGGAAACTGGAAGTGGTGCACTCACAGACCATTGTTTTGTGTATGGCAGTATAACTTTAAAGTGTTTGAATTGAGATGTACAGTATATCTTAGAGTGGGAACAAAACAGGTTTAATTTATTTCCTGTCTGGTTTCATGGTTGGAATGATAGCACATAGTTGGATTTGAAAAAACATGCGTTTGCTACCTCCTGCACATAACCAAGGAAACTCCGTGGTTCTTACCATGACAATGACATTTACTTACATTTACATCAGTGGCCATGTGGTCAATGCATACACGCACAGACACTTGCAGCCACCTACGCCTCAGTCAACCACTAGCATGACTATCAGCGCACATCAGATACTTCTAGACCACACTGACCCATGTTTTTCTGCTTTTTACTGCCTTATAGTCCTGAGGAAATTCAACTGCAGTGATTACAAAACAAATTCTCCAGAATGAGTCAGTTCTTTTTAGGATCTGGCATCAACAACATTTCCCGACCTCACTAATCTGCAACTCCTTTAATATGGATGAGGTGACAGAAGACCTATAGCCAGAGTTTTCAAGTCGAAAAGAGTCTGCACTTACTTTAAACCGCTCACGGCCTTACTCTCTCTGATGGTATACCCTGAGCTGGAGAAAGGTCAGGGAGGATGTTCACGTCTCCCCCAACATACAACCACCTGTTATGTGACTGAAGTATCATTCTTATGTAATGTGATTCATGACAAATGAGCCATTCTCGTGAGCTTCCTTTGGCTACACAGACAATGTTGATTATTAGGAACAATTGACTATTTGATGACAATAAGAAAAATATAGAATATCACCAAACTTACTATTTAAAAATACTTGAGGTACCAAGATAATATACAAAGTAAAAAAAAAGGAAGAAAGAAAATAAGAAAGAAAGAAAGAAACAGAATCTCCCTTTTGAGGGACTATTTGTACGTTTTCTCTGCAACAGAACGTGGTTTCTTGCAGGGAACAGATTGTGGTGATTGTCACTTGACAAGGTTATAATACGCAAGGTTATAATATGCCCTCTGAGCACCACCATGCCTTCAGGGCAGATTGAAGGCTGCAGTGTGCTAACTTCAGTAGCAGAAAAGACATGATGGAGACCAGAGTTAACATGGGCGTTGCTTTCCACCGCTGCAGACAACTCTTGGCGAGTAAAGGAATGAAGTTTGATGCTTAACTTGCAATGTCTCTTCTAGACTGGAAAGTAAACAGCTGTTAATTTTAATGTTGGCTATGTAGTGATAGCAAAACTTACAAATAGCGCGTTTAAACACTGTTATCC